GATGAGGCATCTGAAGCAGCTTCAAGGGCAGGGGATTGCTGGGACCAATTTGGGGGTCTTGGGGTACATCCCCAGGTTTGCTGGCCTGGTGGGAGTGGGGCTGCAGTGCTGCTCCTGCTGTGACCTTTGTATGACAGCACAGAGGGACTGGGATGCCAATGCAGCACCCACTCTGACACTGGTTGGGAGTCCCACATACAAAGTAGTGTCATGAGAAGACTTGCACCAATGTCACATGTGTGTGACACCAATGGAGTGGTAGCTGAGCCTGGCTCCACATCTGGCGGGCTGTGGGTCACTCAATTTGGCAGGAGGCCAGGGACCTGGTGCTGCTGCCCTCCTGGTGCTGTCCCATCTCCAGAGAATAGGTCCTGTGGGGACAGCAGAGAGGTGGGAGGCTTTCCTAGCCCCTTAGCTGAGGAAGAGGAACCTGGAGCAGCCTCATCCCCCTCATCCCGGCTGCCTACGGAGCGTAGCTCATTACCGGCATGGCCCCGTGAACAATGAGCTCCCGGCACCGACAGCTGTCTGATGGCTAATGGCCCCCGGGGGCTGCCCGCAGCCGGGGCAGGCGCAGCTGGACGTTCTGTAGCTCCATCCCCAGTTCCCATCCCAGGCAGCCCTGCAGGATGGGACCCATCCTGCTGACAGATGCAGACAGGAGCCAGGGCAGGACAATGCATCTCTGGTGCTCAGTGGCTCATCAGGGACAGAAAACGGTTTGGAGGGACAACCCTGATTCTGCACCTCCTATGGGAAATTTTAGCTTGTGGCTTTTTGCTGTCCCTGGTAAGGCTGCTCTGGAGGGACAATGACCCCACTGTGTTGTTTCCACAGGGTACCTCCAGCACTGCCTGGCGCCAGCCGGCTATGACACTGACAAGAAGCAAGGCCTGCCACCACCGCCACCAGACCCAGCCTACGCACCCGGCCACGAGGAGTACAGCGATCCCGAGAGCCCCCAGTCCAGCTTTTCCGCCCGCTACTTCAATGGAGAGGCGGCAGTGACAGACAGCTACTCCATGGATGCCTTCTTCATCACGGACGGGCGGTCGCGCCGGCGCAGCGAGAGCCAGCGCCGCGGCAGCCACCGTCACTCCTGCCCCGAGTGCGGCAAGACCTACGCCACCTCCTCCAACCTCAGCCGGCACAAGCAGACCCACCGCAGCCTGGACAGCAAGATGGCGAGGAAATGCCCCACCTGCGGGAAGGCGTACGTCTCCATGCCCGCCCTGGCCATGCACGTCCTCACCCACAACCTCAAGCACAAGTGCGACGTGTGCGGCAAAGCCTTCAGCCGGCCCTGGCTGCTGCAGGGCCATATGCGGTCCCACACCGGCGAGAAGCCGTTCGGCTGCTCCCACTGCGGGAAAGCCTTCGCCGACCGCTCCAACCTGCGCGCCCACATGCAGACCCACTCTGCCTTCAAGCACTACAAGTGCAAGCAGTGCGAGAAGACCTTCGCCCTCAAGTCGTACCTCAACAAGCACTACGAGTCCGCCTGCTTCAAGGGCTCTGAACATAGCTGTGCAATAGGGAATTAGCCTCCCAACCCCTGTGGCACATCCCCATTCCCAACCTCATCCTTCTATCCAATCCCCATCCCTGTTCCCATTTCATCCCATCCCCATCCCTATTACCCTATAAATTCCATCCTGTCCCCATCCCTATCCTATCCTGGTCTCAGTCCCTGTGCCAGCACTCCTGCAGCTGCAACCAGCTGGTTTGTTGCTGTGCGGAGGCAGGAGGACACATCCCCACAGACTCACTCCCCATCTGCTCCCTGGGAAGGGGTTCCCCAACAGTGGGATCCAGCTCCTTTCCCCTGGGTCCCAGAGCCACCCCGCAGCCAGGCAGGTCTCTCTGCGGGGGACTCACCTGGGGACCTCTTCTAGACCCAGGAGAGATTTTCCTCCCCTAGCTTGTGATTTTCACCTTTATTTATTTAATTTATTACTATTATTTATTTAGAGCTGCTGCTTCTCTTCCCGGGGGATCCCGGGGGAGAAAAGACACTTTTCTGCTCCCCGCTAGGAGCAAACCCTCTGCTTGACCCTAATCCTGATGAGACCATGGGCTGGTGTTACTGCCAGCTCGGCAGGACTGATGGCCACTGAGGCTGACAGAAGGCAGGGCTGCCAGTCAGCCTTGGAGCCTGGGGTCCCTGCAGCCCACCATACAGGGTACCCTGCTGCCCCTCTGCCCCATGGCACAGTGTTCACCCTGGCACTGCAGATTCGCAGCCCTGGATTCAGGGGAAGAGCCAGGGGAAGAGCCAAGGGAAGAGCCAGGGGCTCCAGCAGGGATCCACAGGACAGGTCCTCTGTTGGCTCCCAGCTCCTGGCTTGGCCTGGCACAACTGGCCCCTGCCACGATGATAGGGAATAGCCCCCCCCAGGCAGGTGCAGCCTCCCTCACCATGCAAAGGGCTGGGCTGGCAGCTGGGCTGGAGACCCAGCCCTGGGGCAGGTAGTACCCGAACCCCCGACCACCCCCCCCCATGTATCCCTAGCCCCTTCTCCAGCCGGCTCCCGGCTCCCTTGCCATTGTCCCCCACCTGCACTCAGGAGGAGGGGGTCAGAGTAGCTGTAAAGTTTGGGTGAGTCTATTTAAATGTTCTTATTTATATTATTTATAACTTATGCTTTTCACTATTTATTTGTCAAGACTGACCGGGCCATGCCAGCGCTGGCTCGCAGGAGGTGGCAGAGCTGCACCAGAGCTGCCGTGCCCAGGACACAGCCACGGCGACACGGACGGGGACAGGACCCCGAGAGCGGACTGTGTGGCGGGCGCGGAGGCAGGAGGGCACAAGCTGGCCCGGCAGCTCAGGCTCCATGTCCTGCAAGCCTCCCCCAAAGGCAAAGCCCTTCTCCTTTGTCTTCCTTGCTGCCACGGGCTCCTGCTTTGCTCCATGCCCCGCGCCAGCCCAATGGGGACAAACCAGCCACTCTATGCAACCTCCCGGCGGAGCGGCCCCGCACCGGCCCCGGAGCAAGCTCCGCGCACGGCATTCCGGAGCGGGGCCCGACCCACGCCTCCGCTTCCTACCTCGGGCCGCGAGTTGTCACAGCCCCATCACCCCGTGCCGGTCCCCAACACTTCGGGACTCAGCCCGGCACCCACGGGGCCGCACTCGCGCACCCCCACACCGTCTTCCTGCGCCGTCTTCCTCCCTGCACCGTCTTCCTCCCGCTGCCTCGGTGCCTGTCATGGTCACGGGTTGAGTGGGGATGTCCCTGTCATGGTCCTCGCTGCCATGGCACCGTGACCACACGTCTGCACCCCACAGAGGGGATGAGCATCGCCCTGGCCACGCGGGCACCCCACCGGGTTTTCCCCTCGATGCTGGCGCCGTTCCGCGGATCACGGTGTCCTGAGGCCGGCAGGCTTGGAGCACTGCGCCTCTGCCCCTCTCTCCTGTAAATAGCAGATACTACAGCAATAATTTTCCGTGCATGATAGATTTTTTCTGCCAGGTTTTGTACTCGCCAGCCCCAGTATGACAAGTCTACTGAGATCCGGCCACCCGCAGTATTACTTGTAACGCAATTCAGGGATATAAAAGGGATTTCTGCCACTAACCATGTGTCTTGGGGGATTTGTGTGTCGGCGGTGGCGGGTGGCGGGACGTGTGCTGCCAGCCTGTCCATCCCACGGTGGCCTGTGCCCATACTCACTCCTGGGCTGGAGCATCGTGGAAAGAACTGACCAAAAGAGAGGGGTGATGTCCTGGCAGACCGTTGGGAAGGGGTGGCTGAGTCCCCCGGAGCATCCCACAGTGCCCTTCCAGCCCTTCAGCCAGTGGGCAGCAGCCAGACAACCCCCGACTGTGACAAGGAGGGCTTACGATGCCACCCTGCTCGTGAGAGCGCCGGGGGCTGTGAGCGCGGCAGAGCGCTGACCTGGAAGTAAAGCGGCGTGTGAAATCCCAGCAGCGGGCGCACAGCCCGGCGGGCAGCCCGGGGAGGGCGCCGGTAATGCTCACACACACCCCCGGGGCGCCGCTGCGATGAGTGGGAAGGATTCTGTGAGCAAATTTTATTTGAACTCGCCCGTGGCGACTCCCCAGCAGAGGCCCTGCTCCCAGGGGCAGACAGGCATTCCTGCTCCCCACCTCTTTCCTCTTTCCTCTTTCCTCATTTCCTCTTTCTCAGATGTGGGTGCCAGTGGGGGAAGGCAAACTAATTTTAGCATCCAGCTTGTCAGCAAAGACCTCGCTGAGCCCTGGGCTCCCAGTGACCTCAGTGCAATCTTTCACCAGCAAAGTCATTACCAGATTCACCTTGCAAAAAACTAATTTCAGAGCCTCACAAATCCGTCCCTGACCATCATCTACATGATTCTGAGTCAGCTCTGGAGCTGAGGACCCTCCATGACACCAGGGAGCCAGGGTGAGGGCACTGGGAGCAGCCATCTCCTGTCATCGTGTCCCTGCAGTGGATTCAGGGTGTCCTGGTTGCAGCAGCCAGAGGGTGGGAGACCCAGTTCTTCCAGGGAGCCTCTCCCCATTTGGAACATTGGTCTGAAGAAATGACCTAGAAAGACTCAGGGCTGAAGTTCTTCAATGCCTGCCCGCTGTGGAGCATTCCAGCATCATTGCTCAGTTCTGCAGTTGTTTCATGCCTCATCTTCCTTGCCGTGGACCCCGTAGGTGTCAGCGCAGGAGGGAGGGGGCTCTGGGTTGGGGACGTGTTCCTGGCACAGCCAGGCAGGTGGGGGGCATAACCCAGCTCTCAGTTGCCGGATGATCCGTAGTGCCGGGCACGGCCAGGTGGGACCCCAGACTCCCAGGGGCAGGATAGGGACCCCTGCACACATGGTGGAGGTTCAGCTGCCGTGTGCCCATGGATGTCCCATGGGAAGGAGGAGCCGAGGGCAGCCCTGACCGCAGGCTCTCCGGAGCAGGCGGCAGGCCAGCCGGCTCTGGCACCCGGCCCGGAAGTCTGTCCTGCCCCTTCACTGTGACTCTGCAAAACAGTGGGGCGGCGGCTGTGACGATGACGATGGCTGGGCAAGGAGGAAGCAGAGGGGCCTGGCTGGGCGCTGCACTGCTCCGGGCAGAGCGGAGGGCTCGGCTGAGCAGGACAGAGGAAGGCAAAGGCCGGCCGACAGCCACAGCCATGGCTGAGGACGAAAACAGGAGCATCCATACACAGCACATCTCGGCCGTGCACAACGTGCCCATGCGTGTCCTCATCCGGCCCATCCCGGCAGAGCTGGATTCGGGAAAGGTGCAGAGCCTGATGGAGACCCTGCAGGTGAGTACAGCCCCTGGGATGCAGAGGCAGCCCCTCCTGCACCCATTCAAAGGGCACTGCTGGGGAAGCTGACGGCACCCAAGCCTTGGCACAGTCAGGTCGGGGAGTATCAGGGCAGGTTGGGAATGCCGGGGTGTGTTGCTCTTGGATGTCTCTCTCCTTTCCCAGGAAGATCCTGAGCGGGTACCCCCCATCGACGTGCTCTGGGTCAAAGGCAGTGAGGGCGGTGATTATTTCTACTCCTTCGGGGGCTGCCACCGTTTTGCTGCCCACCAGGCACTCCACCGGGAAACCATCCCCGCCAAGATCATCCCCTCCACCCTCAGCGACCTCCGTACCTACCTCGGCTCCTCTACACCTCACCTGCGCTAGGCCAGAACCCCGAGGATGCCCAGAAGCCCCTCTGTCCCTGTTGGTTCCGACCCGTGAGCCCTTGGTGAGGATGTGGGCGGGGTCCCCAGCCCCGGCGTCCCTCCAGCCGGGATGGGTCACAGTCCCCCAGACTTGGGGAGTCCCCAAGGTCCATCCAGCCGGGATGGGTCACAGTCCCCTACACGTAGGGAGTCCCCAGGGCTCATCCAGCCGGGATGGGTGAGGGTCCCCCAGACTTGGAGGGTCCTCGGGGTCCCTCCAGCCGGGACAGGTCAGGCTCTCACCGGTACCCGGAGGTGCCCGGCGGGGCCGGCAGGTGGCGCTATTGTGCTGCGCTGCGCCGCCCGCAGCGGCCGCGAGAACCGGGACTGGACGGGATGAACCGGGACGAACCCGGACGAATCGGGACGGGATGAACCAGTTGGGGTGGGATGAAGCGGGGCACGGCTCAATCGGGAATAGCTGAACCGGGATGGAACAGGCTAAACCGGGGCATGGCTCAAGCGGGAATGGCTGAACCGGGGCACAATGGAACTGGGACAAGTCACAGCTCATTCGGGGCACAGATGAACCGGGAAGGGGTACAAGCGAACTGGGACACAACAGAATCAGGACACGGGGAAGAGACACAGCCGACCCGGCATGGCCAGTCCCCAACCCTCCTTCAGCGACTCTGGGCTCACCTGTGGTCCCAGTCTCCGTGGGGGACATGTCCAAAATCCTGTGGTGGGGACACCCACTGCCGCACCTGGAATAAAGATGATCAAAACCCCTGCAGATCCTTGGCGTGGTGCTAGAGGATGCTGAGGTTGGGAGCAGGGATGCAGTGGTCCAGCATGGCACAGCACGGCACAGTATGGTGGCCTGGCACCAGCAAGAGCAGTGGCTGTGGGCAGACAGAAAGAACAAGGGCAGATGCCTTGCAAGGAGGTGGATGTTCTCCGAGGGAATGGCTACTGTGTTGGGAGGTGGATGCTGTGACAGGACAATGCTCTGCCAGCCTGCCCTGCCATGGAGCTGAATTCAGGGTCAGCTCTGGCCCAGCTGTGGGGATGCATGCGGTCCTGCCATGCTGGGATGCTGTCATTTCTGCAAGCACCACATCCTGACCCCACGTGCAGCCTGGAGAAAACGCCTCGATCATCCCCTGGGCATCCCAGCATCCCTCTAAGTCGAGAGCCTCCATCCAGGGAGGGGAAAGGGCACTGACTCACTCACCACGTCGTGAGTCAGCAGGACTGGGACAGGAACTGCTGCCGGACATTTCTGCCCTATCAACCATGCTCCTCCCGGAACGGATCCTGTTCCCCTAGGGCAGAAACGGGCTGGGAGAGGAGGGCACGGCCTGAGCTGGCAGTGCTGGCATCGGACAGGGCACAATTTACCGCTGCCTCCACGTTTCCGCAGGATCCACTGGGGAGGAAGAGCAGGGTGGGCTGGGGGTGCTGGATGAGGGGAGGGGACCGGAGGGAGACTCCGGCGCGGCAGAGCTGCATGTGCTGCATCAAAGCAGCTGTGTGCCGGGAGGAAGCCCTGCAAGCACTCACGGAGAGCAGCCCTGGCCCGCGGCTCCCTGATGGGCCATAAATTTCTCCTAAGAATTGTGGCGTGCTAAAAAGTTTCCTCTTGTTAGAGAGCGGGGGGTGGAGGGAGGAGGTAGCAGCTCCTGCCGCAGCTCCTGTGGCAATATGGACATTTCCAGAGTGCCCCTAAAACTGGTGTCCCATGGCAGGGACTGATGTCTGCCCATATCCTGTGTGCCCCCACTGCTGGGCATCCCACATGAACTCTGTTTGCCCCACTCTTACGGGCTTGTGCTCCTCATCCCTTAGATAAGAGCCAGCTCAGCAGAACTGGGAATTCCACAAAGTGGGAATGAACTGAGGCTGCCCAGATCCTGCAACTCCTTTTCCTGCAAGCCATGGAGGCTTCTTCCACCTGGGAAACCTGCTGCAGGATCTGCTTTTCCAGCTTACCATCCCCTGCAAGCAGTGCCCAAGGTCCGTGCCAGTCCCAGGGTGGCCTGACATCACTCCTAGGGCTCGCTGGCACCAGCTAGGAGCCAGGACCTGAAGCTGTGTCCAAGGTTCTGTGTGAGCATCTCCAAGGCTGACCAGTGCATCCATGGTGCTGGCATGGTGTGGGCACTGGGAGCTGGTCCCCTGCTGGGGCTTCTGGTGCCACAACCCCCTGGCTGGCACAGGAATGGGTCTCTCCAGTGCCCTGCATTGCTTCCATCTATCCGTCCTCCACCTGTCCCCCTTCCCTCTGCCTGACCCGCGGGGTCTCTGGTGTCGCTGGCTGACAGCCGATCCGGCTGCCTCCAATCCATTCGTTCCAGGGCAGGAACAAAGGCGCTTTGTGGGCTCCCCCCAGCCCGGGCCGGGTGGGGGGGGGGGGGGTCCTAGCTCCGGAACTGGGACAGACTTCCCCGCACGACAGGCGTGTAATGCCTTCCAGACCAGCAGCCCCAGCCCTCAGGTACAGCCCGGGGGGCAGAGGGGGCCTGGTGCTTCCCACACTGCCTGGGGACCCTCCAGGTCACCCTGATACAGCCCTGATCCAGGAAAATGGGGAAACTCTCCTGTTCCCTGAAATGTTTCACAATGTCCCCATGCTCCTCCCCACCCAGGGGGCTCCAGAGGTTCTGGGGGCTCCCAGATTTGTCATCTCTGGTCTCCCAGAGCAGGGAGCAGGGACAGACTCCCCTGGGATAAGATCCCTGCCTCGCTGGGCTTAGTGTCAGGCAGGAGGCAGCTGGACTTGGAGGCTGTGTGTGCCCAGCTGGACAGGACTGTGCCTTTGGGATGGGACAGCTCCCAGGCTTATGGCCTCCCTGGCCTGAGCACCCTGAAACGGGGGAGCCACAGGCAGAGGGGCCAGTCCTGGACATCCCCCAGTACCAAGGTCTGGTCAGGGATTGTGGACTTGGGGCATTCAGTGGGATGGGATGGGGTGGGATGGTGTGGGTGGGTTGTGATGGGATAGGATGGGATATAGTGGGATGGACGGGATGGGATGGGATGGGGTTGAATAGATCAGTCCAGCACCAGGGCTCAACAGGGTCAGGCCCAGTGTCCTGGTGGCCACATGTTCCAGCACTGCCGCAGGTCTGGAATCCATTTGCCTCGCTGGCCGTGGTGTTTTCCCAGCAGGGCTGGAGTGATCCCACAGGGCCAGGGGCAGCCCTGGCCCCTGCCCCATCTGCTCCCTGTTTATTTTCTTACACTTAAGTATCACCTCGAAGATAAACACTCCCTGGTGTGGGGGGCAGGGGGCATTTCACTGGCAGCAGAGGCAGGGCCCAACCCTCAGGATGCCCAGCACCCTGACCCCACAGTGCCTGCACAGGGCAGGGGATGCCTGGTTGGACTGGGGTCAGAGCTGCAACCCCATGCTCAGGCCATGTCCCCTCCATGCTGTATGTCCCATGCAGGGTCCCGTGAATGCCTGACCCACTGCCTGGTGCTGCCCTCTGCCCAAGGATTAGTTAGCTTGGAGGGATCAGCTGGGAGAGCTGTAATGCCAAACCCCACCATGTCCTGGCACTCAGGCTGGCAGAAGGTTTGTGATGCCACAGCTTCAACTGCACCTCGCACTGCCTGGCTGGGTCAGAGTCCAAGCCACAGTGCTGGGGGGGGCTGGGGGGACCCAGGCACAGGAGCTCATGTCCTGTACCAGATGCCTGCCAGGCAGCACAGGAAACCCGGCTGCTGCCCTGCAGCCACAGCATCCACAAGCAGCTGGACAGGCAGGGAGCCGGCAGCGTTCCCTGCTTCCCATGGCTCCTGCTGTTCTCCCAGTCAGGGATGACAGCTCCTGTCCATCCATCCTTCTCTGTGCAGCATTTGGCGAGGTGGTGGTCACACATTCACACATCTGTCCCAACGTGGGGATGTCACTGCAGCAGGAGCTGGTGGCATTCAGGGTTTACGTGGCACCCACAGGCACACATCCACATCCACGTGCAACTGCACAAACACGTGCACACACCCTCATACTCGCATACATCCCTGTGCACACACACATGGATATACACAGCCATGCGTGCTTGGATGTACAGAAGTGTGCAGCTGCACACACACACACACACACACACACACACACACACAAACTCGTGTGCACACGTGTGCTGTCTCCACCCTACACTGAGGTATCTCCTGTCTGCTGCTCCTTCCCTGCCTGTGCCCTACCATGTTCCAGACCCCACAGGCCACCAGCACCCCACCTGTGGCCATGCCCCCCAGAAAAGCCCCCACATCGCTTGGGTGTGGGGACTGGGTGACCCGCCCAGCCTGTCCCCGTCAGCTGGTGGCCATGTGTGGGATGTGCAGCTGAGTACACAGACCCTGCCATCCGTCTTGCCGCCTGTCAGGGCCAGGGGCTGCTGTGGACCCCCAGCCATGGCTCAGCAAGACTCTGGGATGAGAGGGGGGCAGAGTGGGGGTTCCCTTCTCTGGGGCAACCTGCCTTCTCTCTGCCTGTCACGCCAAGGGCTTCCCCATCCTCAGCTTTGCCCCTGGCACTGCCTGCACGTGCCCTTTTTTGGGGGGCTGCACCTGGGCAGGGGCTACAGAAGAAGGTCGGGGTCTCTCATGGAGACTGATGCATGGTGAGAGCTGTCAGTGTGGACACAGTGCAGATCCTTGCCCATCCTCAGGAGGATCCCTGTCCTCATGCTCAGCCCTGCATGTCCCTAGTCCCTGGTGTGGCCCTACATGTTGCCATCTCCAGCGGAACCCCTGGCCCCTGGTGCAGCCCTGCATATCCCCAGCCCCAGCAGGACCACCAGCCCCCAGCCCATCTCTCTGCCCCCACTGCATGATTTACAGGCTCTGCACAGGCAGACAAATGGTGAAGGAAAACAGGTCAGGGAGTCCCGCCAGCCGGGGGCTGCCTGTGCCCCACGGGGGGCAGAGGGGCCGTTTGCTCACAGCCAGCAGGATGGGAGGCAGTGAAATGGTGCCAGTGCCAGGCAGAACAGCTGCCCCTGTCATGGTCCAGCAGCCACAAGCCTTGGCAGCACTAGGAGAGCCCATGGGGGGACCCAGACCCCAGGAGCCATACCACAAGCTGCAGTCCTGCAAGGATAGGCTTCTGGCCATGGGGCGTTGAGGAACATGATGCCATCCCATTCCACGGCCCCCAGGGCACCCCACTAACCACCTCACTGGGGTGTTTGTGATATGCTGGCTGCATTCCATGGCCACTGTCTCAGCCCTGGCAAGCCTCCAAGATTTCCCTCAGCATCGCTCTCTGGCTGTGGAGCTGCTGGACAGTGGGGAAAGCAACTGACACTGCCAAGTCTCCCAGCCATATCCCCAGCAGCCCTAGGGCCATCAGCCAGGAGCCAGGTCCTGCCCTCCACATGTTTTTGCCGCTTGACCTGCATCATGCCTGGAGCATCGTGGAGGAGGAGGAAGGAGAGGAAGGCAGTCAGGAAGCCTCCTGCCTGCTTGGTTCAGCTGGATACTCCCCTCCCTGCTCCTGGGAGTGCTGGGCTCAGGGCAGAGGGGTTGAAAGCAGAGTGGGACCTGTGTAGACCCCTCTGGTGAGTAGGAGCAGGGACATCTGTGGTACTGAGTGCCAAGGTATGACAAGAAGCAATGGTCAGGCTGGGGGGCACCCCCAGCCCTTCCCAGGACACCAGTGATTCCCACTGCTGCCAGCTCATCCCTCCCCTCTCAGGAAAAGACTCTGTGTTTCCACTGCCGGCACACACCTTCCTCCTAGGAGGGAGGAAATGCTCCTGGCAGTGCTGCCGGCAGTGCTGCCCGTGCCTCTCCATGTCCCCCTGTCCCCTCCCATGGTGGGTAGGCACGGTGCCAGGCCCTGGGAACAGAGAAGCAAGGAGTGCATCCCTGCGGGGCTGCCTGCCCTTGCTGCTCCCTGCCTGCCCTGGGCATCCTCCTGGGCACAGATCCTGTCCCAGTGGGGCATGGCAGGGTGTGGGCAGCACTGTGTCCCCCACTGGCATCCCTGGCAGGGGCTGAGGACACGTTGCCTGTGGGCTGTGTGTCAGATCACTCTGCAGGTGCCAAAGGCCGTGGCACAGGGAGCACTTGTCAGATAGTGGCCCTGGCACTGCCACGGTTCAGCACAACCGTGGGCATGACCCAGGGTCAAGGGGCCCGTAGCCAGGCCAGCGCGCCGGAGTGGGGCCAGGCCAGTAGCCAGAACCAGCACTGGCTCTCAGGGCTGGGGTGAGGACGCTGGCCGCTGGCCGGAGCTCGGGGGGCCGGCTGTGGGTGGGCTCCGGAGCCAGCCCCTCCCCGGCCGTATAAATCCCGATTCCCCCTGCAGACAGTCGTCCCAGCCCTGCTCAGCTGCCGCAGCGGAGCAGCAGCGGGAAGGCGTCCGGAGCCGCCGTCGCAGCTGTGCCCGTGGGGGAAGGCTCCCCGCAGCCCGGGGGGTCCCCCCAGCAGGGCCGGGGGTGCGGGCGGACACCCCACCATGGCCTTCACCATGCTGCGCCCCGTGGCCGCCCGCGTGCTCTACCCCGACCTCAGCATGCTCTCGGAGGACGAGGAGAACCGGAGCGAGAGCGACACGTCGGACCAGTCGTTCGGCTGCTGCGAGGGCGCCGAGGCTCGTCGCAAGCTGCCGCGGAAGCCGGGGCCGATGGTGATGGTGAAGCAGAGGCAGGCGGCGAACGCACGGGAGCGGGACCGGACCCAGAGCGTCAACACGGCCTTCACCGCCCTGCGGACCCTCATCCCCACCGAGCCGGTGGATCGGAAGCTGTCCAAGATCGAGACCCTCCGCCTGGCCTCCAGCTACATCTCCCATCTGGCCAACGTGCTGCTGCTGGGCGAGGGCTGCGAGGACGGGCAGCCCTGTTTCAGTGCCATCTATGGCAGCAAGGGCGACCTGGACAGCAAACAGCCCCGCAGCATCTGCACCTTCTGCCTCAGCAACCAGCGGAAAGGGGTGAGCAAGGTTCTGGGATGGGTTAGGGTTCCTCCTGCCCCTCCTGGCCCGAGTGGTCAGGAGGCTCAGGATGTCCCCAGGGGATGGGGAGCAGCAGACCCTGCCTGGGCTGAGCAGGGCAGGGGACTCGGCATGGCTCAGTGAGAACCACAGCTTCTGGCTTCAACTCCCACTGGAGGTTTTGGCTGCTCCTAGCCAAATCCTGCTTGTAGCCACACGCCTACAGCTCCTGCTCACGTCAGAGGGCTGGGCTGCTCCCCCACGTCCATCCGGGCTGGGAGGTCTCAGGGGTTAAACAGTCACCCTGGAGCTGGCGGCATTGGTTGTCCCAGGGGGAGCTTAGAGTTCGCTGCTGACCCCATCCCTATCCCCATCCCCGTCCTCATTCCCATCTCCATACCCAACCCTGCCAGCCCACCAGCACTGCAGCAGGGCTACTCCAGCAGCTCTCTGATGTAATGAGGACAGGAAGAGACCAGCAGACATCCCCCGAGGGGGCCCAGACAGAGCTCCCCATCGGTGTTCCCATGCAGGGTCTGCTGGCAGCACCAGCACAGCTCCCACACAGCTGAGTTGGGCCATGGCAGAGCAGCCCTGCCCTGCCCACACAGCTGATCCCCCCCAGCACCCTGCAGTTCAAGGGACACCTTTCCTGTGGTGAGCCCACCCTGCTGCCCATGCCAGGATCCTGGGTGCCCTTGACCCAGGAATAGCTGTACAGGATATGGAGAGCAAGGTGAAAGGCTGGAAGCTGCCCAACCTCTTGGACATCCCTTGGCAGGGCTGTGAGCAGAGGCTGCTGTACTTACCACTGTCCCCACAGACCCTCAAGATGTCCCATGTGTGATCCCAAGCAGTACAGTCATGGGTCACACTCCAGCCCTCAGAGCTTTTTCAGCTTTTGCTGCTCCATTTTTAATTGCTCCCCTGTTCCTGCCACCCCTCTCAGCAGCCTCTCCAGTCCTCCTGGGGTTCTCCAACCCTAGTCCCTGGCAGAGCTGGGATCCTCTGAGCTGCTTCCTGAGGCTGGAGCCAGGGGTCTGGCATAGTGCTGGATCCCCCAGGTGACCCTGTGGAGGTAGTGTGGCTGGAAAGCTCCTGCTGGAGAGCAATGGGAAGAGCTTGATTGCGATCCGACTCTCTGCATCCCAGCCCTGAGGCTGGGCTGGAAATGGGCTGTACTGGGCTGGAAATGGGCAGGGCTGGAAATGGGCTGTACCCCACTGGAAATGGGCTGTAATGGGCCATGCTGGGCTGTGCAAGGCTGGAAGTAGGCTTGGTTGGAACTAGGCTCTGTTGATCTCTGCTGATCCATGCCAAGTTATACTGGAATGTTCTGGGCTAAATCTGGAACATGCTGGTGTGTGCTGGGTTGTACTGGGCAATACTGGGCTGATGTTGTTCTCATAAAGGGGAGGTAGGGCTGAGTTTCTCCATCCCAGTTTGGACTGTGTGTGTCTCTCTAGGGTTGTGGTTCTGTCTGGGGCTGTGTGTCTGTCCTGGGGTGCTGTTGGCCATAGCCACAGGTCTGAGCCCAGTAGTGCTGAGCAACCATGGGGGCTGTGTTCAGCAGGGTGACAAGGCCAAGGGGGACCCACCTTGGAGCTCTCCACCACAGCACCCACCTCCTAGCCTCCCACTCAACCACTTGTCAGGCACAGCCCCATCTGTCTGTCTGTCCACTCCAGGCAGCACCGAGCTGCCCGTGACTGAGCCACTGGCCATCTCACAGTGCGTCCCCATGGAGTGTGTGTTGGGCAATGGGCAGGAGCAGGGTGCCCCCCACCCAGACACCCCATGGTACCTGAAGCTCTCCCTCCTCTCTCTGCAGGGCAGTCGGAGGGACCTCGGGAGCAACTGCCTGAAGGTGCGGGGGGTCACGCCCCTGCGAGTGTCAAGGAGATGAGCCGGGGTCCGGCAGCACCCACCTGAGACAGCGGCAGAGGCAGACGGAGCCCGCACATGCCAGCCCAGAGACTGCAGCGGGGAGGGAGGGAGCTGCTCACCCGAGGTGGCAGCGGCCGAGCCCAGGCTGGCACCACACCGACACTGGCCCTGGAGCCGGCAGTGGGGCGGGAGGACGCTCCCGTGGCCGAGGCTGCCCAGCGGGGCAGGGCCGGGGAGGGGGGACCCTGCGCCCCGGGGCTGGACTGGAAGGGGCCTGTGTGCGGCCAGTGTCAAGGCGCTCCGGGGGGACAGTGTCGTGGCCCTGGGGAATGCTGGTTGTGCACGTGCAGCCGCTTGGAAAATAAAACCTTATTTTTCTGATAGGCCAGTGCCTGCCTGTCACCCCAGTGTGGGGTGAGGTGGGGGTCCCCGAGATGGCCCTGGACCCCCAGCCTTGCACTGCTGCTCTGTGCCGCTGGAAACAGTGTGACCATCCCAGCCCTACCCACAGTGCCTCTCCTGTGCCACAGTGGGATTCACATGGAGTGAGGCCCCTGGGTGACTTGTCCCTGTGTCCCAAGGACAGCTTTAGCCCCAAAAAGGCTGCAGAAGTCCCAAGAGGATCAGTGCCATGCCATGGGATGGGAGTGGCACTGCCAGCCCCATGCTGCAGCCACAAGTGCCCAGGTGGTGGGCTGGGGTTGGTGTAACTGCTTTTGTGCCTTTCCCTCCACCTGGTACATCATGACTGGCACGATGTCACTGCCACTGCGACTGCCACCATCGCCACCGCTGCCACCAATACTATGAGTGCCACCAGTACAATGACTGTCCCCACTGTGACTGCCACTGCCACCATGATGACCATGCAGAGCCTTGCATAGTGGGCCTGCAGGCAGCAGCACCTGCACGGGGTCAAGTGGGGACACGGGGGGTTCCCAGGCCAGATCCCCACATGGGATTCTGCTTGAGGGGGCTGGACTGGCTGGGCGGTGCAGATATCTGAGCCTGGGAATGGTGCTATGCTGGGGCTGGCGGCTCCCAGGGGCCGGTCTGTCCCACGGAGCAGAGGCAGCTGTGGACAGGGCGGCTGGGGGCTCCCCCCAAGGGCTGAAGAACTGGAGCTGCCCTATTTCCCTGGGGTGCTGGAGCCAACATGGAGCAGGGGGAGCACACTGGGGGTCCCGCTGGAGCCTGCCCCGGGCAGGGACTCTGTTGGGAGCCCACGGCACCTCTTGGCCCCCTGCTCACCGAGGTGAGCCTGCCCCAGGCTCCCTCCCCCGGGTTTGATTTATGGAGCTGACAGCGCGGTGCAGCTGTGAGAGCTGGTCCCAAGCAGGGACCGGGGTGGGTGGGAGAGGTTTGTTCTCAGCGTGGCTAATGTGTCCCAGACCCCAATAAACAGCCGTGAGATTCTCCAAACAGCCCAGGACACAGAATCCCTGCTCCCGGGTTTATCGGGGGGCAGGGGCCATGGGAGATGCTGTGCTCTGCAAACAACTTGACTTGCACATAAAAGGGGACCGTCCTCATGAAGTAGCAGCTCTGGAGCCCCCCAAGGGGTCAGTAAGGGCTGGTGGTTCCAGCACTGAGTGTATAGGTCCCTGTATGTCCCAGGGCTGAGAACCAGTGCCAGCAACTGGAGCCTCAATGAGCTCCAATATGAAGACCATGATCCCCAGTGAATCTGTGCACAGCAGCTGTGCCTCCAGTATGTCCCAGTGCCAGAGACTAGAGCTCTAGAAAGCTCCAGTATGAAGGCAATGCATCACAGTATGTCCCAGTGCTAGAGCCATGAATGTCAGCACACCCCAGTGCCAAGGATGGCACAATGACCCCAGAGCAAGCTCCAGTGTAACATCTCTGTGTCCCAGCACATCCTAGTGCAGAAGTTGGGCACCCAATAACTTCCAGTGCTGAGGTTGTGGATTCCAGCACATCCCACTGCTGAGGCTATGGATCCCAGCATGTTCCAGTGACAAGCCTGTGGGTCCCAGTACATTCCAGCCCCTCCCAGCACCATGAGAGGGAAATGGTGACTCAGAGCTGCCGGGCTGGTGGGAGCTGGGTGCCCCTTTGCCCCGTGTGGGGTGAATGTTGTGGCCACTGATCACTCACAGCCACCACCAGCTCCCCGGCAGCCGCAGCCCTGTACTGAGCTCAGCCACACTCCCCTCCCATCCTCTCCCCTTCCTGCGTGCAGACACCCTTGGAAAGGCTCTTGGCCGCTTTCTCTGAGACAGGAAGGTGTCCCCGAGTCTCAGGAAGGAAAAACACTCAGTGCTGAACCCACAAAGACCGTCTCCGAGGGGCCAGGGCTGGAGAGGCTCCAGGCCTGACATCACCTGGGAACTGGAACCAGAACCGCAGCTGCACTCCGCGCCTGGTATTTTTTTTTTTTAACTTGTGTTTTTAAACTTTCTTTTTATAGATTTTTATTTTATTATTTTTTTTCCCCTTTCCCTTCTCCATTCCCCTCCCAAATATTTCAGCCTCCCCTCAGGCTGGCCAGCTAGGCTGGAATGCAGCAGAGCTGCACCCGCGGGTGCCGGGAGCTGCCTTGCTGATGGGATGGATAAGGCTGGGTCTGGCCAGGCAGGAGCTGCTGGAGCCGTGGGCAGGGGGTCAGGCTGGGGCTCACCCCCAGTGATGGGGGGCCAGGACCTGATAGCCCCTGGTAGTGCTGTGCACGAGGGCTGCTGGAAAGGGATCCATGGCCACGCAGGGGCTGTCTGGCCATGGGATGTGGGAGGACAGAGGGCAGAGGGGTCAGGCAGAGCCTGCAGTCTGTGGGCAGCGCTTTCCCGACTCAGCACCCCCAGGATGGGGCTGTGGAGTCAAACAATGTCTGAGTCAGCAGAGCAAGAGGAGCCAGACAGAGATAGAGAACACAAAGACAAATTTTGGGCCCAGGATCCAGCCCTACTAATTTCTTGTCTTTTGGCAACACCTTTAGGTGCTGCCTGACCATCCCTGGGCTTCCCCTAGAGTGGAGGCTCATGATAAAGACCTCAGTATATCCTGAGGCAAAATTCAGTTGCTTGTTGCCTGGAGAATCCTCCCTGTGACAGTGACAGCCATCAACTGAGTGTCACAGGTCACTCTGAGCCCTGTCGGACCTGGGGGCAAAGGATTGGGAAGGGGCCCCCAAGGTCTAGATGGCACTGAATGCAGACAGGGTGACACATCAATGCTGCCCAGGACAGGGCAGAGGGAAGGATCAGGGAGGGATGGGCAGTCAGGGACGGGATGGGACAGGATGGGCAGACCAAGGGGCAGCACGATAGCTCTCCAGGTTGGGGTGCTAGGCAGTCCCTCCCTCCCTGTGCCAGCAGACGCAGTCTGTACTGACCCTCCAGCATACTGCCAGGGTCCCTGGGGAAAAAAAGGGCAAAAGGTCTGCCTGAGACCACCAAGACACCTGCCAGATCCTCACCATCGCAAGGGATGCACAGCAAGAATGCCCCAAGGCGCCACATATCCCAGGGGTGCAGTGGGCACTGCTGCAGGGTTGCCATCACCCCGCCACGTCCCCACCATGCACTGAACTCCTTAGAGCCGTTCGCCCTGCTGGGACCTCGTGCCAGCTGCGGTCTCTGGGGACACAGGCCCCGAAGCAGGGACAGGGTGTGAGGCCATGGCGCGGGGTGAACGCCAGGTTAATCTCCCGCTGGAGCTTCCCTCTGCAAACAATAAGACAATGCCCGGCCGGGGCCGCCTGCGTAACCAGCAGCGCGGAGGGGAAGTTGTAATATTTGGATTTAGCCCTCAGTAAATTAAGGAAGAAAAAGGAAAAAGCGCTGGGGGTAATCAGAGCAGGGCTGGCCCCGTGCCCTGCCCCACAGCCCGTGGCCCTGGGGGCTCAGCTCAGCCTGTGAACAGCAGCTGAGCAGGGCCAGCGGCTCCGAGTCAGTGAGGCTGGGCATGGCTGGGAGAGAGATAAGTCCCTGAAGGCCAGGCAAAGGACGAGCATGTCCCCTCCATGGGGACAGCAGCCTGGAGGGTCAAGTCTTGGATACCCAGCAGGGTTGTGGGCAAACATTGCCAGCCACATCAGAAAAAAGGGATCTGGGCCAGGAGGTTATTTTAATCCAAACCTCTTCATGGGAAATAAAATCCTATTTCTGCAGCTGGGTTGGCTGGGCAGGAGAGGGCCCGGGAGGGTCGTCACCTTCAGACAAGGGACGGGGCTGTCCCAGGATGTCTCCATTGCACAGCCCCTTTCCCAGCATAAGCCCTGCAGTGGTGCCAGTTCCCTGTGATCCCATGGCAGGGCCCACACTCGATCAAACAGGCACTGTGGTTGGACATGGGGCTCTGAGAGTGGGTGGGGAAAGGTCTCAATGCAGGGGATCCCTGCAGATGCTCAGAGCAGGAACAGTGCTGCAGGGATGGCCTTAAACCCTCCAAAACGTGGCCTTGCCACACACCAGCAGCCCCACTCCCCCAGGGATGCCCCTGCCTGCCCTGGCCCCAATGGAGTGAACAGGGCAGGGACACCCCAGGGAGCCTGTTTGGGGAGGCAGGGCTAGACCCCACCCTGCAGGATGTGAACTGGGGTCTTGAGAGGGCTCAGTCCCCGCTGTGCCCTGGGAAGACACTTCCCCCACTTGGTGACCCAGGGTGGTGTGGGGCGTGGGGCTGGCAGGAGGCTGAGGCAGGTGGGGGAGAGGTGACCAGCGGGCAGCAGCGGCACGGGAAGGCCTTCGGCACCGTGCCTCGCGCCGGGAGCCCATTTCCCCACAACAGGGGCCCTTATCAGCGGCAAGTCCTCAGAGTGGTCCCAAGAGGGACCTCCAGCCCTTCCCCTCCACCTACCCCACCGCTCTCCCGCTCCGGCCCACGTCAATGCCGCCGCGAAGGTGTCGGAACAATCGCCTGACAAAGAGCTATTTTTAGGGGCCGGGGCTTGGAGCGAGGATACGGCCCGGCTGCTGACAATGGGGGGAAGGGGGCCGGGCTTCCCCCGTGACCACTCGGCAGCAGAAGGACCTGTAAGATTTCCTCGATGACCCAGGC